GCAGAGTTCCCTCCCACCCCCCATCCTCCCACTTCTCTTCTTTGGATATTGTGCACAGCTCAAACTCTTCCCTATCCCCATAACATATAAAAACACTCACACATTTCTTTCAACTCTTGTTTTCCTTTTGTTTTTCCATGTAAAGTCTGTTCCAAATCAAGAATCATATCACCTTATTCATAGTTAGGGACTAGAGCTTACTATTCCAGATATTTGAACTTTAACTAGACAGGGTGGTACTTGGCTGTAAGCTAGGGGAATGATTGCTTTTTTATTTTTTTTATTTCAGCATATTACGGGGGTATAAATGTTTATGTTATGTATAATGCCCTTGCTCCCCACTTCCCCCGCCAAGTCAGAGCTTCAAGCCTGTCCATCCCCCAAACGGTGTGCATTGCACTCATTATGTATGCATATACCCATCCCCTCCTCCCCCCTCCCATCTGGCCGACCCTCAATAAATGTTATTCCTATATGTACACTTAGGTGTTGATCTGTTAAAACCAATTTGATGGTGAGTACATGTGGTGCTTATTTTTCCATTGTTGGGATACTTCACTTAGTAGAATGGGTTCCAGCTCTATCCAGGAAAATACAAGAGGTGCTATATCACCATTGTTTCTTAAAGCTGAATAGTACTCCATGGTATACATATACCACATTTTATTAATCCACTCATGTATTGATGGATGCTTGGGTTGTTTCCACATCTTTGCAATTGTGAATTGTGCTGCTCTAAACATTCGAGTGCAGATGTCTTTTTTATAGAATGTCTTTTCTTCTTTTGGGTAGATGCCCAGTAATGGGATTGCTGGATCGAATGGTAATTCTACTTGTATCTCTTTAAGGTATCTCCATATTGCTTTCCAAGAGGTTGCACTAGTTTGCAGTCCCATCAGCAGTGTATGAGTGTTCCTATCTCTCCGCATCCATGCCAACATTTATTGTTTTGGGACTTTTTGATAAAGGCTATTCTCACTGGAGATAAGTGATATCTCATTTTGGTTTTGATTTGCATTTAAGGGAATGATTGTTAAATGGTGAATTTTCAGGTGGTACTAATAGTGGGAGAGATATTTTTGAGGGCACGTCTTCCTGATGTTCCTTAAATCACACTATATAGGTTACTATATATCTTGCCTTCTTGTAGGGCTGGCCTTGGTTGAGGAGAAACAAATAAACTCAGAAGAGTTGTCTGTCTAAAACACTTAGGTGTGTTTACATTATAAAACAGCCTCAAAAGGAATCCATTTCCTACTAGGATTTTCTAATTAGTAGATATGAATACTTTTATCTGTGGCAACCATTAGTTACCGGCCCAACATACTTAATAAAAGTCACCCAATATGCACTATGGGTGTTTGCTCAGCATATTGATTTTACCACCGAAATTGCAAAACATCTTCTCTGATGAGGTTTGGAAAACAAAGTCATCAATCTCAATAGGGATGCTATGGATTTGGTCACTTTTGATGCACAGAAGGGCTACTAATTATTCTCAAGTAAATGCCTCCAATGCACAGTGACAAGTTGTATTGAAAGTTGGCAGCCTTTCAGAGCTGTGTGCCAGAACTCCATTTATTCACTCTCTTGGGAGTGAGCAGCTGCTTCAGTGAGATGAGGCCTGGCTATTCCTATTAGGAACAATGGGGTCGGGTACTGTGAATTGAGAGAGGGTGGCTGGACATGATCTCTGGACTCCTTTACTGCAGGCCTCTTTCTGCAATTCTCAAAAGCTATGCTTAGGGTTAACTCTGCAAAAATGGATCCCATTCTCCCAAATGCTAATTAAATTAAACAAATACACATTCAACAATGTATTTATTCCCTAAATACTTATTAAGAGCCCACACTGTGACAGTCAGTGTGTCAGATGCTATGGATACCATGGTAACTGGGCCTGACATGTCATCCTCAAACTTAATCTAGTGGGAAAGATAGACAGTAAATACAAAAAAATAATAAACACAGAATTACAAGTTATTGTAAGCGCTATGAAAAAAATAAACAGGATCTGGGACTGAAAATACAGTAAGCAGAGGCTCACTTAAACACAATGATCAAAGAAGTATCTACTATGTGCCAAACACTTGGCTAGATGCTTTGCTAAAAAGGTGTAGGTAAGATATGGTCCTTGTCCCTCAGAAATTGTCAATTTATAGTAAGTTCAAGAAGAAAAGCATGTATGAAGCATAATGGAAACTAAGAAGAAGGAACAATTAATTCCGCCTGGGATAGAGTAGGGTAGGGATATCAGAGACAGTTAGAGAAAGAGTGGCATATGAGCTGGTTCTCAAAGGATGTCTGGAAGAATGCTGGGTGAACCTAAGCAGCCAGGAATAAGAGAGTATAGATAGAGACAACAGCAAGAGGAAAGGTGTCAAGGCATGTTTAAGGGAACAAGGCAGGTCATCTTGGAACCCTGACCTCAAATGAACTTTTCTGTAGAACCCCAGTACAGCAAATATAAATGCAGAGATGCTCTGTTTGAAGCAGCAGAGGGGGTAGGTAATAGGGACACCATCGTTTTCCATGGCTGCCATAGCAAATGGCCAAAAACTTAGTGGCTTAAAATAACACAAATTTATTTTCTTACAGCTCTGGAGGTCACTGGGCTAAAATCAAGGTATAAGCAGGGCCGTGTTCCTTTCCGTAGGTTCTAAGGGAGAATCTGTTTTCTTGCCTTTTCTGGATTCTAGAGGCTGCCCGCATTCCTTGGCTCATTGCCTCCTTCCTTCATCTTCAAAGCCACCAACATCCCATCTCTATGACCTTTGTTCTTTCATCATGTTTCTCTCTGATCACAGCTAGGAAAGGTTCTACATTTTCAAGGACCCATGTGATTTGACTGGGCCCACCAAGATAATCTAGGTAAGCACCTCAAGGTCCTTAACTTTAATAACGTTTGCAAAGTACTTTTTGCCATGTAAGGTAACATATTCACAGGTTCTGAGAATTAAGATGTAGACACTTTGGGGGGTCATTATTCTGCCTACCAGGAACCTAGACCCCCTGCTCTCTTGAAGGCCCTGTCATTTCTCATAGCCACCCGAGACATCTCTGAAAAATCCTGGGACTTGAAAGACATTTTTAAATCACAGTGATCAAAATGATCACTGTTGTGAAGTGCCCATGCTTGCCTATGTATTAACATGAATGTGAGTTTGTTTGAGAGGGGAATGGGGTGGGGGTTAAATGTGCTATATTCACAGTACTTAAGCATCATTTCCTCAGATAGACCTGCCCTGAAAACTCAGATTAAGTTAGTATTCCCTATTAAGTACTTCTGTAGCACCCTGTACTTCATTTGTCTGTGTTTGTATGTGTGTGTAGATGAAGCCAGAAGGGTCAGGGTAGGCCGTGTTGTAAGGCAACTTTTATTCATTCAACAACCATTTTGTGAGCAAGGCACAATGATAAGTTTTGAGGATATATTTGCAGATATATCCTCAAAACTTAGCGCTATTCTCCTACTGAGGAAGACAGACACTGAACAAGTGGTTTAAAATGCATGGCAAATGTTTTAAAATAAGACCTGGAGTGGGAATCAGCCAGTGGTTTCCCTATGGGCCACTGACAGCCTGCAGACCTGGAGGGGTCTGTCAATCATGGCAAGCGGACACCGGGATGGAAAGACGTTTGAACCACAGGACCTGAGGCCAGATGGGAAGACTTCTAGGTCAGAAGATGCTAGCATAGAGAGGGAATGACAGTCAAGAACTCAATTAGGATTATATACTTTGCATTTGATAGAGGATAGATATGGACATGGACCTTGCATCCTTGCAGCCTCTATGTCATGAGGATTTATAGTCCCCTTGGACTTAGATCAATCTTAGAACAAAATGGAGCAGCATAGAGAGGCGAAAGTCTTGGATTGTAGTTAAACCTGAAATGACTGTGAAAATCCATAAGTAACTGAACTTACCTGAAATCAGCTAAATTGAGTTCTCTGCTTTCTGGTGGAATGTGACCTCTAAATAGTGACTCAGCTATTATAAAACAACAAACTAACATTTTTACAGAATCCAGAATGAAGACCGTTAAAATTCATACTTGGCACATGTTTGCTGTGCTAAGGGATTTGGATTTTATTCTATCCAAGTGTAGCTAGCTAGCTAAGCTAGCCAGTAGAGGTTTTCAATAGGAGTGAGGTAGAATCAGGTCTTCTTTAGAAAAAGCAAACTCAGCAGTTTGGAAGAAGACTTGATGGGTGCGGATGGCAGAAAAAACAATAGAAGACTACTGTAGTATTTTAGGTGAAAGAGGAGGAGGATCTGGGCTAAGATAATGACCACTAAAAAGTGCACATGCATCTGGTATAGGGCACACCAAAGAGTATTTCTAGGGATTTATTTTTTTCTATAGTTCGACTTGGGTGAAACACTCAGTTGCCTGCTTGTCAAGCTCCAAGGCAGGTGCACTGAAGAGAGAGAAAGAATTTGTCATAAAAAAAACCTGATCGTGTTTAGATCAGGAGGCACAAACTCAGCTGTGTCTGGGGCCCTAAAAGGGAACATAAGTGAGTGAAGCAGGCCAGGTAGAGGTTGGCAAACTGAAGAATGCATACCCCACCCAAAGAGGGCAACTATATTGCAGCTCCAGATCATGTAATCCTGTGAGGCCAGAGCTACACATTTTTTTTTCAAGGTAATTTCCATCATGTTAAATATTGGCAACTATTTAAAAATTTTAAGAAATACTGTGATTTTTCCTTGGCAAAGGTTTTTTAAACTTTAAATTAAAAAAGAAAATATTTTCACACAGAGGGGATTCAACTTATCTGTTTTGAGGAAACAATAAAGAAAGTAGAAGATGCCAAAAAAAAAAAACAAAATCAACCCCCACATGATAAAAATAGGCGTATCCTCCATAAAAATCTGAACTATCGAGTCATTCATGGCTATTCAGGATTCAGAACATGAAGTGAAATACCAAAGTATAAAAAAAAAAAAAGAATTGTGATACTACCATTGTGTTACTGGCCTCGGCCGCTGGCTGTTGCGGGTGCCCTGGCTGCCACTGCTGGAATGCGGTGTGTCCGGTACCCCCCTACCCTCTGCAGACCTCATGGCCTTCAAAGCTCTTCCTTGGTCCTACTCAGTTTTGTGGCATGTTCTTCCACAAACTTGCTCAAATTCTCCAGATCTCTCTCTCTGCCCTCAAATTTAATTGGATTCTTTTTGTCCCCACTGGGGGTGAAATAGATGGTGGGGAAGCCCTCCACCTTGTAGCGGTTGCTGGTGACATCGTTGGCGGTGGCATCCATCTTGGCAATGACCAGGCCCTTCTGGCCCTTGTACTTCTTGGCCAGGCTGGCGTACACGGGCTCCAACTGCTTGCAGTGCCCACACCACGGCGTATACAACTCGATGAGGACGTCCTTCTTGGGGTCCATCACGATGGAATTGAAGGTCTTCCCCACCACAACCTTAACTGGCCCGTTGTTGTTCTTGGGCACTGGCTGGGATTTGATGACCTGCTTTAGTTTTCCTTTTTTGAAAGCCGCGACAAACTCGCGGAGCATGTCGGAATCAAACTCCTCTGGATCCATGGCGAACTTCTTCCCACTCTCGTCCAGGATGGCCACGTTGACGTCCTCCCCGCTCTCACTGAGCCCCAGGTCCTTCACCTCCGTGGCGTAGTCCTCCTCGTCAGCGATGGTGAAGGTGTACTCACGGAAGGCCTTGGCCACCTCCAGGACTTTGTTCCGCCAAAACTGAGTAGCAGCTCTGTAATCAAAGCTGAAGTCCACGCCGTAGTAGACGACCACCAGGAGGCGCCTGCTGTACCCCTTTGCATCGTTGGAGGTCTTGCGGTGGCCCACCAAGGCCAAGGCGTGCTTCACCACGTAGTCCTTGATGGCCACGCCCTTTGTAGAACCCCGAATGTCCATCACGTTGCTCCTGGGCTCATACTTGGACTGGAATTTCTCAGGCTGCATCACAACCAACTTCCCTGGGGAGACTTTCAAGAACTTTGCTATCTCAGTGCTGAAAGTGTGGTGAAATTTGTAATCTTCTCTTAGGTTGTTAGCAGCATCCTGATACTGCTGGTAGGCTGGGTCATTCTCCCCCACAGCAAAATTCTCTGTGGTCTGATTTGACCTATGGGCTGCCCCTTGATAATCCCTGGTTTAGATTTATTAGGCAATGAGAAACTGGTGAACAGAATGAGGGTTGGATGTTTGTGTGTGTGTGTGTGTGTGTGTGTGTGTGTGTGTGTAGAAACTAACCTCCAAGTTAGTATTCCAAGTTAGTATGTATTACAAGAAGTTTAATAAACATCACATCCTTGTAAATAGTAGGTTCTCAGCAAAAACATGTTGAGTGAGTTTACTGAGTGCCTGTTAACTTGCCAGACACTGGTAGGAACTAGAAACAGAATATTTATAAATTATTTATAATATTTATTGATACATGCTATATTAAGACACATAGTATACAACATTTAAAAAATGTCTTCAAAATGCAGTTGACCTCCCCACCTCTAGGTATAGTAACTTATTCTCACTGCACATCTGCCTACTCTTTTAACTGTAGGTGATGATCACCCCAGACATATTTTTGCTACTCCTCACTAAAAGAGGAAATGTTGGCATTAGGGCAAGAGAAGATGACCCCATGGTCTTTAACAACCCAAACTCGCTAGGAAAAAGGTAATAGCTAAACTAGCAGCCAAAGGCAGTAACTTGGTGCCTATCATCAGCCAAGGTGATGACAGACATGAGGTTTCTCCTGGGACAAACTTTTCAGATTTCTTTACTTTTTCTTAACGGCTTGAGACGTAGTCTCTCCTGGAACTCTAGATTCATTAGTCTGTAGTTTAAAAGGTAATGGGAACCTACAGATGTGGGGTGCAGGTTTCCTTCCTGAGGTTGGGCATCTTCCATGGAAGCTGTTTACATTATTGCTTATCCCTGGAAAAAAGGTTTTAACCTGGTTCTATTGTAATAATGTAATTCTTATCATATATTGGTTTCTGTGGGGCGGGGGGAGGGAGAGAGAGGCATATGTATTTAATAACATCTTTGGAAATTTTATTTTATATATTATGTGGATGGAAATTTCGAAAAATGTAATGCTATTGAGGCTAAAAGATTATACACACACACGCACATATGCATACATACATACATATGTGCCAAAATCTAACAGGGCAAAGTGTGGAGTCAGTACCGGATGCTTCCAACCCAGAGATGACCTTGTTTGCAAAGCTGTTCTGCAAGTAAGGAATATTTTCGATCGTGTTTGTTGTCTCTCTCATTACCAAAACGTTGAGTAAATAAATATTAAACACCTGTTTGAAGAAATCACTGTAAAACTATTTTAAAACCTAGTTATGCTCTGTCTTATCATCTTGTTCCACACTTTAGAGTTGGAAGGGATCTCAGATCATTTGATTCCATATACTCCTTTTGAGGCAGGTAACAATATTCTAAATTTACAGATGAGGCAACTGAAGCTCAGAGATATAAAATGAATTTCAAATGATTAAGATTCAGGAATAATTATTTTACTAATGTCAGGGTGATGTCCATCAAGGACTAGATTAAATATTTATATTTCTTGAAATGTTGCTCTAAATTTATCACTTGGTGCTTTGAGTAACTAGAGTTTGTTACAATAGCAAAGTATAATAATTAACTTGTTATATATGTTATGTAAAAAACATAAGTAGATTGAAGTCTCAGGTTCATTTGTCATGCCTTTGAGGAGCCTTGACCATAAGTAAACCCAGGCAACCATTAACCTCCTGGTCATGACCTGAATTGCATCCATAGACTTTAGGGGGAAATAAAGAGGGCCTGGGCATTGAATCTTAATGACCTAAGCCTATCAGGTAACAGTTTCTATTTCCTCTGTGCCCAGAACTTAGCAGGAAGGCTAATAAATAGGGAGAACAAGTGTGAGGTATATGGTTATCAGAAAAATTTAAAAATCCCACTGCTTACTACTTGAATTTACCAAAGGATTACCATGTAGCAAATAGAAACTTGATGTCAGGTATAAACAGGTTTCCAGAGGCAGGAATGAGATGGCAAAACCAACACTGCACTGAAGGGGAGTCTGGAGGCAGGCAGAGGCCAAAGAGACACTCAAGTGCATGGGTTTGGGGAAATGAGCTGGCAAATATTTACCGTTTAAATCTATTTCTCTACCATTTCACAGAACTGAGTGTATAGTTCAAGCCTCAAAAATAATTTTAATTGAGCTAAATTTCCCAAGAACTTGGTAAACTTCTTTTTCTTTTTACTTCTGTGCTTTGAATATTTTAAGTGCTGCAGTTTTGATGGGAAGAAAATAGATTTAGTCTCTAGATATAGTCAGCTTAATAATTTAGAAGCAACTTTAGATGTACTTTTCTATAAATTGCCTCTCTGAGCTTAATGACTATTAACACTTCTTTTTTAGTGGGGGATATTGTCCTCTTTCTCCCTTCAAATAGTAAACACTATACCATTGACATTCTATAAATTTTAATATGGAAAAATATTGTTCTGAGTCCCAGCACCTTAAAATTAAGAATGATTGTACTCTCATATATCCTTTCCCATTCTTTTTGCATGTACATACACATTTCTACAGTTGTAATCATAACAATTGTATGTCTTGTTTTTTTCACTTAAAATTATGTGCTACACAGGTTTCCAGATATCTATATAGTCATTATAATCATTTTAAAGACAGAGAAATACTTTTCAAGGTTTCACGACTACCTCTATTTCCCACTCTCATTTGGTATTTTAAAATATCTTTTACCTTCTACTGGTTTTTGTTTTTGTTTGGTTTCAATCCGTGTAAAGTTTTGATTTTCTTTCATCCGCTGGGTTTATGATGCTTAGCTCAAGTCATCGGAGACAACTTTTAGCTTTGCATTTTGATCAGGCCTCTTTCAAAGTGTTGTGTCACTGTAGCTGAATTTCAATGGCATCAGTTTCAGTTACTAGATTGGAGATTTGTATTAGGGCATTTTAGAAATGCTGGTTTCCAGTTCTTTCCTGCTGGGGAAGTGCCAGATCACACAGCTTTTGCTGTAATAGGTCTGCACAGACTGCAGCTGGCATGCCACGTGGGGCTGGAGAATTGTGAATTCAGTCACTTTTCTCTGTCCCTTTGATTGCCACAGATATAGCTTGTCCCTGGGAGTTATCAGCAAATTCTGGAAGGGAAGTAGGCAGGACAAGAGTCAGGAAAGAGGCTGTCTGAGGGCTGTGGGGTGAGGGAGTGCCTTAGGAGTTAGGCCAGAGTCGTGGTTGAGACTCCAGAAGAGAAGATAGAAGGGGAATGCTGTATATATGACAAAATTTTTCCAGATTTCTAGAAAAGATTTAAACATTCATTTAAAGAAACAGACACTTTCCTCTTTATGTCACAGATCGCTTTTTGAATCTGATAAAAGCTATGTACTTTACTTTCTCCCCTGCCCCCACAAAAGGAAGTTTCTCATAAATATAAAAAGTTGCATTTGATTCCTCACAAACCATCCATAGCACCCTTAGGGTGAAGAACTTCATTTTATAAGGAAGATCTGGTGGGCAGGAAATGGTCGTACCTGTATTTCCCAACACTTTCGCTCTGAATTTTTATTCTCTTCTTGAGAGCAATTTTGTGTGTTGTTTAAATAAGATTACCAATCTCTAATAAATGCTGGTGGGGCTTGGATCTCAGTGACAGCCCCAGAAAGTGCAGAATCGATGAGGATGAATGTCTTGATCCGAAAGCTGGTTTTCAATAATGTGTCTAGTCTTGTGTACAAAAAGCAACTCCTTTTTGTGTGATGGTTAGCAAATTACTAAGTACAGGCCCTTGCTAAGTACTTTACCACTGCTTGCCAATGTCTTCAGTGGTTTAAGATTCTGGGCTCTATATTCTGACTTCCTGGGTTCAGACCCGGATTCCTAGGTAAGATACCTCCTCTCTCTGAGTTTCACTTTTCTCATTTGCAAAATGGGGATGATAATTCTTAATTGTGAGGATCAAATGGGATGATGCTTATAAAGCACATTGCACAATGCCTGACACACATATGTGTTCAAGAATTGTAGTCATTATAATATTTATCATGATTCTAAAATTCTGCCTCAGATCCATATAGGCAAATAACAGCATGTACACCAAAGGAAATGGGTGTTTCAAACCTCTAAATGAAATTAGACAGGGACTTTTATCATTAGATTCTTCAGGTATTACCAAAGAAAATCACCAATTGATATTACCTTTGTCTTTTTGAAGATTCCCATGATTTTGCTAACATTTACAAAATTTAATTTGATAATTTGATTTAGAGAATAAATGCATTCAGGTTCACATGCATATTTCACTATTGTTATGTAAAGTTACTAGGTTTTCCTAAGAAAGGAAATAGTTACGGAGGCCTCCATTTCATTAATTGTATGTTGCAGAAACTGTCTAGCAGGCTAACAGTGTCCAGCGTCATCCTAAGGGGGAGGCAAATGTTCATTATCTAATGAAAATTATAGCTTAAGAAAATCTACCTGTGCGTGTGTGACCAGTTGAATTCATTGTCAGTCTCTGTAGAAACTGCTGCATACACAAAATTGAGGCAGGTTTATCCAACCAAAAGGTGAGTTTTGGAGTTGAATTTATACTTAAAATGTGTTTGCTCTGTGATCTCCCGCAAACTCCTCATTCACCACCATAGCAGTTAACACACTATTATTGCTTACTTTATTGTCTTCTCTGCTAGTGTGTAAGAACTGTGGAAAAGGCTCTTTCTTGCTTACTACTTTATTCCCAACTGTAGCACAGTGCCCAGCATTTAGTGTTTAATAAACACTTACTGAAAGAATAATAGTCCGACACCAATGTATTATTGAACAGTATAACATAAAGGGTAAGAGCTTACTTAGACTTTGCAGTCAGTGAGGCTGGGGTTTATGTCCTAGATCTGGTGCTTGTGAGCTATGAATACCTTCGGCAGGCTATTTAACCTTCCTGAGCTTCATTTGCTCATCTATAAAATGGTGATAATAACTAATTCATAGGGTCATTGTGAGCATTAAATAAAATGATGTATCTAAAATATTGAGGATCGTATATGGCACATGGTACATAGTCTATGAATTGTAGCTATAATAATTTTGATTATTATTAATCAGAATGTTTAT